GAATGACAGTATTACAGGGTATTTATAATCAACTAACAGAAAATGAACAAAGGTTTCTGTATAATCTCCTTGTCTATAAAGTTTTTGTTTATATTATCACATATAATAAAATCCAATAAGATACAACATGTTAAGACCGATGGAGACAGAAGAACAAAAGCTTGATGGGACTTCAAAACAAGATGATATTAAATCAGCACTAGCTATGATGATGTCTTGGTTTCTCCAAAATAGCTGTTCCTACCATCCAACCTTCTCTGCCTCATTTCTGTTGAGCTCTTTTTCTGTCATTGTCAGTTTGTCTTCTTCATTTCGCTTTCTGCTCCATTCATTGTGGCCTCTCTGCCACTGTTTCTGGATTCTTGGTATTTTTCTTTTTTAGAATATCTTGCAGTATTCTCTGTAGAGTTGAACTGATGGTTGCAAATTCCCCTAGTTCCTCTTTATCCTGGAAGCACCTTGTTTTTCCATCAATTTCTAGGGACAGTTGTGTAGGATATATCAATCTTGACTGGAGGTTATTATCTTTCAAAGCTTGAATTATTTCCCCCCACGCTCTTTGTGATTTGATAGTTTGTGCCGAGAAGTCTGCTGTAATTCTGATGGGTGTTCCCTTGTAAGTGATCTGTTTCTTGTCTCTGATGGTTTTTAATATTCTGTTCTTATATTGGATTTCTGGAATTTTGATTATTATATGCCTGGGTGTAGCTCTGTTTGGGTTGTAGGTGGCTGGGGTCCTGTATGCCTCATACATCTGAGTATCTTTACCTTTTGCTAAATTAGGGAAATTCTCCTGGATTATTTCTGTGAATAGCTTTTGTAGTTCATTTGTTTGTATCCATACTTCTTCTTTTATGTTCTTTTTTTTCTCTCTTTTACGTTCTTAATTCTTAAGTTATAGATCCTATCATCTTCTAGCCTTTGTATTATTGCTGTTTGTTTCCTTGTTATTTTTAAGAATTTTTTCATTTCATGTTCCCACTTTACAAATCTGTCCTCAGTCCAGATAATCTTTCCTTAGTTTCTTTCAAGCTGTTATGCCAGCTTTCAATAGAGTTTTTAGTTTCCTGGTAATCTCTTTGAACCTGCTTCACATATTCTATGTTTTCTCTATTTTCTCCATCAAAGAATTCTCCCCCTTTTTTCTGTTCTTCCATTGCACCATCTGACTGATTTTTCTTGGGTGGTGCTTAGCATTTCTCTAACTATTCTACTTATATCTTGCCTTACTTCATTAAATACTTCAATTTTGAACTCGTCTATGAGTCTCCAGAGATATCGCTCTATGTCTATTCATGCCGTGTCTGATATTGCATGTTTTCTGTCCTCATTCTCCTTTGCATTTACCTTTCCTGGATCAGTGTTCTCAGTATTGGGGACTGAGAACCCTTTCTTGTTGCTCCCTCTTCCCATACTTTTTGTTCCTTCCATACAAGCGTATTTAGGAGGCCCAGTTTCTTTCTTTGTCAGTTACAGTTTGTTTGAATCGCCCACTGCAGTGTACTAGGGAGACACAGTCCTAGGCAGCCTATGCTGGGCCTGCCCCTCCAGGTTAGTCAACCTGCTGAAGGCTTTGCTGCATTAGGGTGCACTGCCAGGCGCAGGGACCTGGTTTGGGCTAGCCTACTGGGTCTTAGTCCACAGCATCACCCAGGTCAAGCACTCCCCACCAATCCCGCCAGAGAGGGGAATATGTGACTGAAGTCACTGCAGCGTCCTGTTCCAGCTAGTCTGCCCAGCCCCAGAATGTCCTCTGTTGGAGCCTCCTAGTCTATGGACGGATCCCCGTTCCTCTCACTCCCTGCAGGTCAATACAGGATTCTCTACCAGCTCTGCTCTCAACTCAGTTTGCTGATTCCAATTCTCAGAGCTTTCTCAACTCTATCCCTGCTGTGCCAATTCAGATGCAGCAGCAGTGGTAGGAAATTCAAGCCGTGGTTTCCAGAGGCACGGGTTCCAGCTTTGGCACTGAGACTTTAGCTGTTCCAGTTGTAGCACCAGGATTGCAGTTCCAATTGGTTTCTCTCAGCTTAGTTCGTTCCTGAGTCAGCAGGATATATCTCCCCCTGCGTGGGACTCCCTACATTGTACCATTCCAGGAATCTAAGCTGGCTATCTCAGAGAGCCTCCATAGCTGCTGTTATCTATCTGCCATGTTCTCCTGAAGTCCCTCCCACTGGCATATTTTCAAGGGTCAACATTAGCCAGGCCTCTGAAGGAGGGACAGAGTTCCAAAACCTAGGAAAACTAAAATTAATCTGCCAATGTTTGTGTTCCAGAAATGATTACAAGCCTTATCCTTAATGGTGCTGCAAAAACAGCCCTTCATTTATTCACTTTTTCATGTAAAAAAAACCCCACATTTATTTAAATGCAGTCATGTCATACCATCTTTTTCTGGAACATTGTTATAACTGTCTAAACCCAGAAATCCAGTATAAATTTCTTGTGACTCCACTACATGGAGTCACAATCATGGGTCTTAGTCTCTTACGTCCAGCAACAAGAGTTCTCCTTAAATGAGCACTTCTCATTCATTTAGCCTGCTTGTTACAACACACAATACAATGAATTGTGAAAATTCATATTAGACACAGCCATGTCCTTTCATTATGAAGTATGCACATCATTTGTGCATAAGCAGCCTTTTATCACTCTGACCATTTCACCTTCTTCCCTGACATCCTCCTACTACTTCTCACCAGAATTCATATGCTGAAACTTAATGACCAATCTAATGATATCAGGAGGTGGGCCTTTCAGAGTTCTGTAGGTCTTGACCACCAAGCTCTGAGGAATGAGATTAGCACCCTGTACCAGAGGCTCCAGTGCTTCCTTCCCTCTTCCATCACATGAAGACACAGGGAGAAGGCACCATCGATGCCTTGCCAGAGTCTACAGGCACCTTGATCTAAGACTTCTCAGCCTCAAAAGCTGTGAGAATAAATTTCTGAGTTTATAAGCCACTCAGTATATGATATTTTGTTATGGAAGCCCAAAAAAAACTAAGATCTTTTTAGGTCAGAGTTTTCCAAAAGAATTTCCTGGAAAGAAGGAAGGTTTTATATCTGTGCTGTCCAGTAAGCAGCCACTAGCCACAGGTGCTTACTAAGCACTTCAAATTTGACTAGTATGACCAAAGGAATAAATCTTAAATTTCAATTTATTTAAATTTATATTTGTGAAGCCACATATGGTGAAAAACTATAGCACAAATATACAAAGTTTACAATACTGCAAAAAAAAGTCTACCTCTGCCTTAACTTGCATACAAGACTCTGCCCTCTACTTCAGACTTCTTCATCATGAAAGCCACACTAATCTTTTATCTTCTCATTTCCTCCACTTAGGGAGTGAATATATTTAATGTTCTTTTTCCACATCCTCAGCTACTCAATGAACTCTTATCTAAGAGGATACAACAAAAGTGACAGGGATGTCTTTATTTTTGAAGAATTTATTTCTTTCAAGAGATGACAATAGCCACAACACAAGTATAAAATAACCCTAAAGAAAGCATTTTGATGCATATGGCTGAAATACTATTCCCTATACCTTAAGCAAATATTCTATCACCTAGCAAAAAAAATTAAAACTCTCAAATATTGTTTCCAATATTGGTACCGATAAAAATGAAAAAAAAACAATGAAAGCTATGAAATTTTTTAAAATATAAGTCAAAAAGTAAGTAGCCGACAGCTATGAAAGCAAGTATCAATTCTGTGCTAATTTTTTCAATTTTCTATAAATTTTTGGAGGTGGACCAGGAATCAAAACCAGGACCTCACTCTTGCCAGACAAGTACTTGTGTCACTGAGTTATACCCCAAACCTATATATTTATTGAAAACTTATGTATAAGGTACTTTATGAGGTGTTAGTAGAAATATGAAGATAAATGAAATACTATAAAGAACTGATGAAACTAATCATTGCTAAAAAGTTGTGAACATATCAAGACTACAGCTGTTGAGACCTAGAAATTATTAAAATGTTTTTGTTTAGTGTTTTAATCAACCTTAAAAACTATTAGGTAATTTTAACTTGTGTCTGGATATACCAAAAAGCCTTCAAAAAGAAACAATATAGTCGGGGCCGGGAATTTAGCTCAGCGGCACAAGCGCCTGCCTGTCTGGCAAGCACAAGGTCGTGAGTTCAATCCCTGGTACCAAAAAAAGAAAAAAAGAAAAGGAAACAATAATATAGTCTAAGGATTTAAACTATTTTTACTCTTCATATGATAATGCTTTTAGTTTTAGAATACATATTTTTCAAATGATGCATAATAACTAGGGATTTGCATGGAATGGTGTGATATTTCAATACATATATACAATATGCAGTGATCTCATTGGATAATTATGGAATATTTATCATCACAAACACTTATCATTTCTTTGTATGGGAGCATTCAAAATCCTCTCTGCTAGTTATTTTAAAATATATAATTAATTTCTATTAACCATAATTACACTGCTGGGCTCTAAAACATTAGAAGCTACTCCTACACAGTTACACCCCTGTACTTATTAACTAGCCTCTTACTATTCCTGCTATCTCTGAAAATTATAATTTTTAAATTAACAAGTAAAGGTTACATGTATTACAAAAAAATTGGGGGGCTGGGGATTTAGCTTAGCGGCATAAGCACCTGCTTTGGAAGCAGGCAGTCGTGAGTTCAATCCCTGGTACCGATAAAAACAAAAAAAAACAACAACAAAAAAAATTCAAGACACATATAACTTATAGGGATGTTGATGATTGGTGTTTATTATTATTATCATATTATATATTTAATAAATTATTATGACTTTCATGAATAAATTAGTAATTTTTCATTAGTCCTAGTTCTGTCTGAATTACTCTCAACCCCACGGCCTAATGTCATCTATAAGTAAAGACTTTATTTTTTAATGATGTTCCACATTCACTCGATAATCATTCTCCAGTGTCTTTATTACAAATACATGTTTAACACAAGTGAATTTTCTAAAAACCTACCCTTTCCTGGTATCGTCTTTCAAAGAAAGCCATATCATCCTCTTCTGGTCTCCTTAAGGAAGACACTTGGTTACTTGTACCTGCTAACATGAAAAAATTCTAATTAATGTATTTATACCACTATATAGTTCCATAAAATTTAAACACACACACAGAAAAATTTCTTCCTTCCAGATAATGTTTAATTTTTCAAGACAGAAATGGCCTACACATAGCACTAATATCTAATTCTTAGAAAGAATGGCACAAAAGTAGTTTTTAGTGGCAAATATTCTCCAAATATTCAACTGGCTAACATTAATATAGTACTACAGAACTATTCTATATAAAAATACACTTAAATTTGTCCAATTACTTTTTGTATGTTACATCTAGAAATCCATATTATACTTGATGAAGTAACGCACAGCAGTATGCATTATGGTGATTTTACTGAGGCTTTGTAACCAGAATGATATAAATTGGTCTAAAATTTTTCAAAATTAAAATAATTTCAGTCATCCTTAATAGCAGTCACTTTGTAAAATTAAGCACCAGTTTATGTGCTAAAAGAATTTTAAATTGCTTCAGTAGGAGAAAAATCTAGTTGCCTTCGCAGATACTCTAAGAGCCTTCCAACAAAAGATTACCTTCAATATAGGTGCATGCCTTTACCAGGTCCTTGCATTTCCAAAACAGAATAGCAACCAGAATACCTGTTCTTCCAGTTTCTAAAGCATATAATTTCATCTTCAACTAGCTGCACCAAGTGTCTAACTCAAAACCATCACAACAAAGCACAACCACACTGCCAACAGTATTTAACAAAACCCTTGTTGAGAAAAGTAAAATTAAAAAAGACTACTTAAACTAGGTAAGGAACGCATACCTCCAGTCTCCATTAACTCTGAGTCTATGAAAAATTACTAATTAAGTCTGGTCCAACCTGGAAGAGGTTGGACCATTTGATCTAAGCCTTTTACACATTCACCATCAGAGCTGCATTTTAATGGAGTAGTATCACTCGTGCTAGATGTAACTGTAGAAAGCAATCAACCATATTTGATATTTGCTGAAAACGAGCCCTTAAGGACCTTGGCCACTGTATCACTTAGGATCACATAGAGATTTCTTTAAATTCATTACTGTGCCAGGCATGGTGGCGCACACCTATAACCGAAGCACTCTGGGAGACTAAGGCAGGAGGACTACAAGTTTGAGCCCATGCTAGGCAACTTAGCCTATCTCAATATTAAAAGAGTTGGAGATACAGCTCAGTGCAAAGGTGCTGGGTCCAATCCCTAGTCAGGAAAATAAATAAATAAATAAATATCAGTGTTATAACATTCATTCACATTGAGAAACTAATGCTTCTTCCTTTCTAATAAAGTATCGTGGCTGCGACTACAGTCAATCAAAACTGAGGTTTAATGCAACAATTATATCAGTTTCAGAACAACTGTATTCTTTTTCTTGATTTTCATTTTTTTACTTCAATGTATAGTCAATCATTTCTTCATTGAATGCTGTTTTTGTAAGCAACATTAAGACACTTTGCTGAGAATGTAAGCATCCATGAAAATACAAAATTCCCATTTTAAAATATTAAATACCTAATAAATCATAAAATTTCCATCTTCAAAGCCAGGAATGTAGTTCAATGGTAGAGAACTTTCCCACCGTGCACAAACTTGATCCCCAGCATAAAAGGGGGGGCCTAAATTTGATCGCTAGTATAAAAGGGGGGGGAACCCTTCAATTTCCATCCTCAATGCTTTTGTTCCTTTTTAAATAAATAAATACAAATTACTAGTGCTTAAAATTAATTCTATTTGCTTTTAATTTATAAATGATAAAAACCCTCCTAACCTGTGATTGACTCTGGATTATATCCCTCTGAGGAGAACTCCACGGATCAAAGCAGTTAATCCACTAAAGCGGCCTCTTACTCAAACATCAGAGCAACATGTACCAGAATAAGCTTTAAATCTTCAAAATATAGTATTATCAGAATCCTTGTAATTTTCAGATTTAGCTGTTTTTCTCAACCCAGAAAGAAGTTCCTTGTTCTCTCACAGTGCGTTACTAATATAAAAGTAACTCAAAGTAAAATTGTAATAATAATAGAAAAAAGAAACCTAGAAAACAATTCAAAAGCTCTATTTTGTTACTACAACCAAAAATACTTCTCATTCTCATTTCAGTACCTTCTGCTAGTGTTTCTGGAGAAGTAGGTGATGCCTGAAATGCTTTTACAAATGGATGGTCCATGGGCGTAACTGGAGAGGCTAAAACTTCAACTGAAGGTGTACCTAAGAGGAAAATACAGAGAATGGCATACTTAAACCTCGACTTTAAGCATATAGACAACTTATTATGGGAAATAGCTTAGAGTCTCAGTAGACTGTTTTGAAAATACTTTCTATAAAAAGAAATAGCCAAGTGCAGTGATACACGCTTACAAGCTCAGCTGCCCATTGGGAGGCTGAGGGAGGAGGAATCCTGAACCCAGTGAAGAGCAAACTGACCGACAGAGCTAGACCCAACTCAAAACCAGAAGAAAAAGGAACCTGTATTTAAACTTTTATCTGCCACATAAAGGGAAATGGCTAAGAGTATTTTTTCATTTCTCAGACCTCTCTCAGAGGAAAAAACACATTATGCACTAATATAGCTATGTCAGCAAAGGAATACAAAACCCTAATACAGTAGCAAAACACAATGTAAAGCAAGGCAATCAAATAAGGAATTTCTGGTTAACTAGGTTAAAATACAGTAGTAGTAAAGTGTTTTTAATTTATTCCTTACTAAAAAGACATCTAAAAGCAAATATGAAGAATAAGGAGAAAGCTCCTGTTCAATGGAGGAAACCACCGCCCCAAACCACAAACAGCAACTGCAACATGTGTTGATCGCATGGACCAAAAGGAAGGAAGCTGCAGAGAAAATGTAAAACTGGCAAGGTGTGGTGACCCAGGCCTGTAATCCCAGCCTTTGGGAGACTGAGGCAAGAGAACTGCTATGAGTTCAAAGCCCACCTGGGCTACCAACGCCAGCCTGAACTGCAGAGAGAGACCCTGTCTCAAAAAAACAAACGAACAAACAAACAAAAAAGTAAAACTTCTTTCTCACAAAGCACCACCTCTCCCACACCACTAGTAGAGAAGGAAACAAACTTTCAGTCCTAACTGGTTTAAAAGTTAATACATCCCAATTGATGTATTATGTAAATTTTTTTCTTTTTTGGTACCGGGGATCAAATTCACAACCTCACACTTGCCAGGCAGGCACTTAAGCCACGAGCAAAATCCCTGGCCCAACATGCTGTGTAATTATATTGTAATTTTTCCTCCTCTTCCTTCCTCCTCCTTATCCACCTCTCCCTCTCCTCTTTCCTCCATCCTCTCCTCCTCCCCCTTCTTCTTCTCTTCCCTTCATGTTTGAATAGATTTAGAAAAAATTTAAAAATTAAAAAAAACAAAAGTTAATACAGGCAGAGGCCAGGGATTTAGCTCTGTGGCATAAGCGCCTGCCTGGCAAGTGAAAGGTCATGAGTTCAATTCCTAGCATACACACACACAAAAAGAAAATAATATAGGGACACACCTGTAATCCCAGCACTCAGGAGGCTGAGGCAGGATGATCATCATGAGTTTGAGGCTAACCTAAACTACGTAGTGAGTCCAAGGCCAGCCTGAACTATATAGTGAGACTTATATTAAAAAGTTAATCTTGTAATGTGAATCATATAGGATAACTGTTCAGTCTTTCTAATTCCTTCCCCCTTTCTCTCCCAGACACTCTCTTTTGTGACAGTGAGATCATAAGGAGAGGCTCAGGGTCATTCAGCTCTTTGTGCTGTCCTCTGGGTGCTGCATGTTTTACTGATCTCCTTTAATGCTCCAGGCTGGCCTAAGCTGTAACTTAGTCTCTCGGCTTGATGGGGTCTGCTGACCTAGCACCTGCTCTTAGTAAAACTACAGACGCCCACAATGCCGGCTACTTCTTCTATTGAATTCCCTGATTTGGCTGTCAGTTCAGCTGTGGAGTCCCCTTTTCCCTACAATGACACTGTGTAAAGGCGGTTTTATCTCACAGCTCAGTTGGCTGCCAAGTACTCCCTGAAAGGTGGAATTATGAACTCCATTTGTATTTTTAAAAAAGGAATCAAATCCCAGCTAGAAGGATTTAAACTCTTAAGATCTACATGGCTAGTAATGCAGAAGCCTCTCTGCACTGGGGCTCCCCCATATCTGACATGAGAACAAAAGTATCTTATGTTTCCTCATGTGTCACCTGTCCACATCACCCCTTCTCCCTCAGGAGCCATCTTTAGATATGAAGACACTTGGGTGATAAAATACCAGAATCACAAAAAGGTCAGATGCCACCCATTATTTAGCAATGTTTTGAAACTAGTAGCAATTAAATTGATCAAGAGTAAAAGGAGTCATAAATATTAGAAAGGAAGAAGCAAAAATTATTTGCAAAATAAACATTAAAAATTTCAGATAAAGCAATAAGACTGGTAACAATAGGAGAAGATAACAGTTAAACTGTGACAACAAACCAAGAACTATATCATCTGGCTATTACAAATAATAGGGGTATGGATTGGGATTTGGGTACAAACAGTGAAGTAAGAATCTTTCTTTTTTATTCTAAATTTTCCGTAATGGCAATGAGATCCTTGCAAGCAAGGAAAGACTTTCTGAAAAAAAAAAAAAAAACATGATGAATATAAAATGCTAAACAAAAACAAGGCTTCACTGCTCTGAGGACACACAGTACAAGCCATTGACAAGCTCCCTTTACACTGCCTTACTCACCAATCCCACTGCTGTCCAGTCGCATGTAGCCCTCTGCCAGGGAGCTGAAACCAGTTAACCCTCCCATCGCTGCGTAAGGAACATCCTCTCCCACTGGCTTCCCCTGAGCCAGTCTTTCTTGCTTTGTTTCCACCACTGTATCATGCGCATATGCAGGCTGACCACAAGCACAAGTGAAGCAGCTATGGAATCCTGAACACTTGGAACCTGAACCAAGAGGTAAAGAAAATTAAATTTTTTAAGTCCAGATACTAAACAAAGTATACATCAAACCCAAAAATATTATTTTGCTATTACAAACAATGGGGATGAGGACTGGGATATGAGTATACCAACTGGAGTAGGAATGATCATTTCCTATGTTTTCTAAATTGTCCTTAATGATTTATTGTTTAGTGGCTATAAATGCAACACTAAAGATACTTAGTTTGGCCAAAGCCAGCTAAATCTAGAACTTTGGACCCTGTATCTCATACCTCTAGCTCCTGACCTCCCTCCCAGATACTGCTCTTATTCTAAAAGATGGTAAAGTAGCAAAAAGGTAGGTAGGAGAAAAATGTTTCTGAAAAGCTATGAGAAGCTACAAGAAACTGGATTAGCCAGGCTTGGTTGTGCATGCCTGTAATCCTAACACTCAGGAGGTTGAGGCAGGAGGATCACCACAAGGCCAGCCTGAATTACACAGGAAGACCCTCTCTCAAAAAATCAAAAAAGAAAAGAAACTGGATTAAACACTTCAATGTTAGGAAATGCAGTTTCTGTCCTCAAACACTGAGTTAAAAGCAGATACAAAAGGGTTATTAGCTCAGTGGCCAGAACAGGTAAAGAAATCTCCCTGCAGATCTACTCCTCATAAATTCGTATTAGAAGATCAATACATAGACCCAAAAAAGATAAAAAGAAAAGTACTGACGCATGCTACAACATGCATGAATCATAAATACATTATGCTCAGTAAAAGAAGCCAATCACAAAAAAACTACATATTCTATGATTTCATTTACATGGAATATGCAGAATATGCAAATTAATGGGCTGACAGCAGATTACAGATGGGCACACCTGTAATCCCAGCACTCAGGAGGGTGAAGCAGGAGGGTCACTTGAGCTTGAGGCCAGACTGGAGTACATAGTGAGTTCAAGGGCAGCCTGCACTGCATATAGCAAGATCTTGTCTCAAAAAGCCAAAAAAAACAAAAAAAAAAAAAAAAAAAAATAGAAAGAGAAAAGAATAGAAAGAAAAAAACTAAAAAACAGATTAGTGGATGCTGAGCACTGGAAGGAGTTAAGGATAAGAAAGAACTTTCAGACCTGGGCGTGGAGGTCAGTGAAAGAATACTTTGCTCATCATGTTGCAGGCACTGGGTTCGATCCCCAGCACCGTGAGATAGACAGAAAAAAGAAATGACTTTTAGTGACATGGGATTTCTCTTTTAGGTAACAAAAGTATGCTAAAACTTATTGTGTTATTGTTTGCACAATATTCACACCTGACAGCGGCTACACACACAGTCCCATGAGGAAGAGGAACTGGGACACAGTACCCATCTTTTCCAGAAGGAAAGTTGTTGCAGCCCCAGAGAACAGGTCTTAGGACAAGAGGAGCAGCTGCCTCCCTTGCTGAAGCTTGGCTCAAGTGTAGAGAAGCTTCAGGACATTTCTGCATATCTGTCACTAACAGCTATAAAGGCAACCATTACAGGAAACCATCTTGAATTATCTCCAAGTCCTAAGAAAGAAACTACCACATGTAAGAGTCCCAGTAAGCTTATAGATGGATCATGGAGTTCCAGTGGTGAACTGCCAGATGAAGATAAGACATTTCCTAAATCACAGAGAGATGATGGGCACCAATCTAGAACAGACAGGGTTTAGAACAGGGATATTTTAGTTCCAGAAGATGAGGCCAAATGCACATAAATCAATAATTTTGTCAGAAATCTCATTTTGGTGAAATACTGGATTCAAGTGGAAGAAACCTACATTTCTTTTCTGCTATTTTGTTTCATTTTTTTGAAACAGTCTTGCTCACTATGTAGTCTAGGCTGGCCTTGAACTCTCAGTAATTCTGCTTCAGCCTCCTAAGTGCTGGGATTACACGTTTATGCCACCAGAGTTGATGAAACCTACACTCCTTTTAAGTATTTGTGATTGATTGTGATTTTACTGAGTCCTAGCCCCAGTGCTCAGCCCTTTAGAAAATTTTTCTAATTTAATATTCACAATTCTAACAGAGAGGCTACTACATGTATTACAATAACTTTGGCTGGGACTTGTTAGAATTGGTTGGAACTCTATTTTTGGCCTCGCTGGCACCAAAGCCAGTCTTCACAATTCCCACATAATGCTACACCCAGGCTGCCTCCCTGAAAACTTGTTACTAATACTGTGACAATGTGTGATGCAAGTGTAACATTAACAAGTTCCTATGCTGGCAGCATTTTATATCGGATACTGTTTCAGACAGTTTAAAACCGGGCTTTCTCAGCCTCGGCACTCCTACCATTTGGAGCCAGGTAATTTCTTGCAGTGGGGAGAACTTTCTTCCATACTTTTTATAGGATGTTTTTGCAGCATTTCTGCCTTCTGCTTGCTGGATCTGTTATACCCCCAACACTAGTTTTAACTCCCAAAAATGTTTCTCGATGTTGCTAAATACTGTAGAATATTTAAAAATCTTAATGCTTTCCAAATAAACCTGCAACTCTGAAAGCTCATGTCAGTTACTAAGTCAGGTTGAGACAGACAGCCTTTCTGGAAAGTAGTTAAATTCTTTTGACCACTTAGCATGCTATTTTGGTAACTACTGTATGATTGACATTCTAGTACATACTGGATGAAATGTTATTCTAAATTCACACATAAGCTGATAGTGTTTATGTTATTAACAACACAATCATATTAACTGAAATTCATTATGATATAATTCTTGGTTTGACTTTAGAATCCTAGAAAACAATTTCAATATTAAGTTTGTATACTTTTTATGAATAGTATGATATGTGAATTATATCTCAATAAAGCTATCATTAAATTTTAAAAATCTATTACTTAATTTATTTGAATTATATAACATTGTAATTTATGATCCTCAAGCCTACTATATCTCTGAGGATCCAATGAATTTTGCTCAGTTATTTAATACCTGACTATGAAGCTGAATAAACTGGTACGAAGACACATTAAATATTCAATAAAGTAATTAAAAGTCTACATATATATAATAATGTGACTTACACGTGTTACATGCAAAGCCAGGTGCAGCACTATGCTGGTCTGCAAAGTGTTTGCACCTGCAGCGAATGGGCTGGGTACCATTCAGAGGGACATAATGGTAAGCCCTGCACGGGCAGCCACTCACGCGGCAAGGCAGGGCAATGGGGCGCTGCTGCGGAAGCGTTTCAAAGTCAGTTTTATGTTGTTTATACCTAAAAAAGTGGGGAGAATAGGAAATATAACATGAGGTAGGTATTACCAAAAAATTACAATTTTTATTCTAGCAAAAGAAAACATTGTTAATAAGCTGAAAATAAACCTCCCTCAGTGTGGCCTTTCTGTCAACTTTGTTCAAAGGGAGTCGTCAGTTTTTTAAAAATTTTTACCTATTTAAGAAGTTTGTCAATGGTACAGAGAAATATAATTCTCTTAGAATACTTGTCATTGCAGACTCTTTAATATGGATGCATATCACAAGTACAAAAAAAAATTCTGAGTAAAAAATTTTTATCAAACTGCATTACTTACATTATTTTCATGTTTTGCTATTTAAAAATGGAGCTCAATAAACTTGTTAATGTAATTCACTGTAATGTAATTTAATTTTCAACTTTTTTTTTAGGTAACAGGATCAAATACAGAGGTATTCTACCACTAAGATACATGCTCAGCCCTTTTTATACTGCTTTGTGACAGAGTCTCGATAACTCGCCCAGGTTGGCCTGGAACTTTCAATCCTCTTGCCTCAGCCTTCTGAGTAGCTGGCACGATGGGTAGGCACCACCATATCTGGCTTTATTTTTAACATTTTTTTTTTGAGTACCAGGAATTATTTTTAACTTTTGACTTAGAAATAAATGGTCAATATACTTAAGGCCAAGTTCTATGAAAACATTGTAAATAATAAACAGGTCATCTGCTGTCTTCTCATAGGTGCAACTCAATAAAATAATGCTATGTTTCTTAACACTGATCTAAGATACATGTTAACAGTGAAATTCCATTTTTCACTTAGTAAAAACTTTTTTTTTAACACTCATTCTGGATATGGAAGTAAAAATTTTTTAACTATTTAATTATAATTATATAATTTATAAAATTTTTCTTAAACTATGTGTAATATATAATTACATAATTTACCATTATATAGTGGCTGTCAAGTATTATAAAAGAAACACTTCTATTTAATAATGCTTCAGAAAACTTTAAATGGTTCCCAGAAAATTTATTCTGGAATATATATACCCTAAGAAAATAATTCCATTATACACACACACACACACACACACACACACACACACACACACGGGGATAGTTAATTACTACAGGTTAATTTTCAAGCTTATAGCAATAAAACCCTTTCTTCAAATAAAATTTTTCATAGAATCACATATAAAACAGATAAAAGCAGAACTGGAATTTGGCCTTCCTTTCTCTAACCCACCCTTCTACCTAACACACCCAAGTCTTGGCTCACAGATCCAGGACACACAATATGAATACCACTACACCAGCCAGGATATCAAACACTTACTGAAAACTTTAAGATTACCACATAACAATGTGCAAACATATTTCTGTGACTGCTATGAAAACAGAGCTCAAGATTTTTTTTTGTACTGGGGATCAAACTTACAAACTTGCACTTGCCAGGCACGTACTTATGCCACTGGGATAAATTCCTGGCCCTCAAGATTTTATATGTAGACAAAACTAACAACTAAATGAACTATACAAAAAAGTTATACAGATAAAGTAAGAAGTATTAATAGGAGCTGGCTTTGCGCAGTCAATGTTCTACTTTTCTTCTTATTCCCCCATTTTCCTTAATAATCAAATATCACTTTTTTTCTGTACTAAAGTTTGAGCCCAGGCCTCTGCATTGAGCTGTCTCCACATTCCTTAGTTGTTTTGCTTTGAAACAAGGTTTTACAGCGTAGGTTCGAACTCCTGCCTCCTACCTATCAATTTTATAAAGGAAAAAAAAAATTGTTTGAATAAAGGTCTCATGAGTGCCGAGTACTACAAAAACATTTCTCTATCAAAGGTGAGTGGGGGAGGCTGAGGCATTTAGTTCAGTGGTACAGCACCTGCCTAGCAAGCATAAGGTCCTGAGTTTAATTCCTGGTATCCAAAAAAAAAGTTTTTGAGAGCAAACTCCATGTTGAAAAAAGTAAATATAGATAAGAAATTGGCATTAAATTCTTACAAAATAACCTATAAAGATATCACACATTGAGTCAGTGCCATTCATGGACTGCGGAGGGAGAGAATCAAGCCTCACCAGGAGGTGATCCCCACCTGGAAACCAGCATTTCCCACAGGCTGCTGCCAGAATTGGGACAGCCATACCCAAGCCTCTCTCAGAAAATCAGGACCATTTGCAGACTGCAGAGGGAGAGAACCAGGCCTACTGGGAAGTGATCCCAGCCAGGAAACCATACCATTTTCACTGTTTTGTTGGTTGGGTTTTATTCTCTTTTGTTTTGCTTGATTATGTTAAACCTGATGGCATGAGCAGCCGTTTGAAAGACCATACATACTATAGTAGCCATTTTGGATTTACGATTGGCTTGTTTTGAAGTCCTTTATTGCATTCATTGTTTTGTTTTTAATGTTTCTATTCTATTCTGTTCTGCTTGGTTTTTACTATGTCCAAAGGTATCTGCAGCTTTCTGAAGACAACAAAAGGGATTATGGTCACTATTGTTGGCTTCATAAGGTTCTGAAGTCCTGTATCACTTATACTGGTTTATTTTGATTGGTTTTATTGTTTTAATTTCCTTGGTTTTATCCTCTTTAAAATAAAAAATAAAGATATCACACATTTTCCACATATTCCTTCAATTCTAAGATACCGACACACTTTTCATTCTCTGTATCTCCAGTGTTATCAGTTGAGGTTGCCAGATAAGTTTAAAGTCAGTTTATGTACAATACTCATCCTAACCACTGCCTAACAACACCTGCCAAACTGCAACTCTGTAAATAGCAACTATTCAAAAAGTCTCTTGAGTCTAACCTTCAGCCGTTTCTTTAGAACAAACAGTTAAGAGTTGTTGCCTAAAAACATGTAATAGGTTCAGTGATTTTTCTGTGAAGTACTTTGATCATTTTGCTCTGTACAATGGTGAGACAGTAGTAAAATCAGAAGTAGGCAAGCACACAGCAAAATGCAAACCTCAGGTACAGGCAACATATGTCAATGACTAAAGCCTCATGTAATACTTCTCCCCATGGGATTTTCTTGGGACATGGCCATTTGTCATTAAAAACCAGGAGCTTGAGTTTTTGTTTGTTTAAAGAAATGTATTAACATGGTAAGTCCTTGAGATGAGAAGGTTGATTTAATGAATTTCAAGAGAAATGCATCTATTAGTAGATAAGTAGCATGACCAGTGTGGATCAACCAAGTAACTAGTAAAGCAGTTGTCTTTAGTCCAACCATCTATCCTTTACCGTGGCCAATGGTAGGCAGGTAGATTCTGCTGCCCAGATGAACTGAAAGACTCTCCAAAAAAAGGGTGGGGAGGGGTCAGGCAGACAAGAAGGAAGGAAGAAAGGAAACAAGGAAGGAAGAAAAGAAAGAAGGAAGGAAGGGAATAGCAATTAAAATATATTACCTATGGGTACAAAAACACAGTGTTTCTGGGCCAACAAGTTTGCAATCCATTCCTGTTGGGGACCGCCAGCTCACAAATAACCTGTTCTGTAAGCGCATAGGTAAAACTTTTCTTTTGTATTCTTCATATTCTTCAGGAGTAAAAAGTTTCCCTCCATCGTCCTCACCAACAATTCTACAACAACAACAAAAATAAGTCTTCAGGCAGGAATATTTTCCAGTTTAAAAATACTAACCTTTAAAATTAAACCATACTTGTATATTCAAAGGGAAGGCTGCTTTGAATTTTTACTGTGGGCACACGTTAATAGCCCAATCATACATAATGACAATGAAGATTTTCTTTTGAGAGTTTTGGACATGCACCCTCACATTATGGCAACCTAGAACTTAAGAAAACAGCAGAAGCAGAAATGCTACTCTCCCCTGCCCTGAGTTCTTCTTCCCTGACACAGGTATACAACTGTCATTCCACAGGTGCCTTCTCTCTACCTGCAGGGAAGGGTCATCCTTCTCTCTGAAGACACAGAGATGCAGAGAGAATCTAAACACTTTTTCCCCCGCCCCAGTTTGTTACCATTAGGTCATACTCTTTAGAGATTCCATCTACTTTACATCACAACTAAGCATAAAAGTGCACAGGATCCCCAGTTCCTGTATGTTTTCACTTTCTGCAGGCTCTCACTTCATATAAAATTGATACTTCTTTGTACAATATATATTTTTTCATATTTTGAAGCCATTAGGCAGAAAATAAAAACTAATTCATGTGCAATGAAATCAATACAAGCTTTTTAAACAAACCAGATATACAATAGCAACACCAATTTTATTAGCCAATGAGCATTTTATTTGGGGATAAGTTTTGAGTTGTATTGTTTTATTACAGTTATCCAAAAGAGTACTAACAGATACCAAAGAGATGTTAAGGTAATTACAATTCTTTTAAGAAAGAAATCATTGGCATTTAGTCTTAAACCAATTTATGCCAATACTATACTTTCCCTCCCAACCATCTCTCACCAAAGCACCAAATCAAGGTACTCTGGAGAAAGACAGTTCATCTTTGGTGGAGACTCATGTTTTTTACCCTCCCCAGTCAGCCCCTTCCATATCTAGGCACCCAAATCTGGTTTGCCCCACCTTTCTCAAATCTTGAAGGTAAGAACCTGTAGGGGACTGTTCTGTGTATTTATCCTTGCAAAAATAATTTCCACCAGGCCTGCCCCTGGCATTTTCTGGGCAAGAAACAACTGGAGGCCCATAATCCACTTACCTAAATTAATCTCTGGAGGCCCACAACCCATATATTAGTATCTAACTTCTCAGTCAACACAAAGGCTCAGCAACTTGCTTCCAGAGAAAAACCCTAGAAAACGGAAGGTTAAAGGAACCAGCTCTGCCATGGAGAAGCCATGGGTGAGGTGGTAGCAGTTCTGGCCCAGGACGCCCCGCCCATCCCCTAAAATCCACCTAAATCAAGAATGTGACTGACCTATCCTCAAACTCCTCGACTTTGTTTTTCCCACTCGTTTCCAGGTAGTTTTCTAAATACTACCCAAAACTACACTATCAGTGCAGTCTGCTGGGAACCCATCTGCCTCTGAATGCCTAGGTGATGTGCATCGCAAACGACAGAGTAGCCCCTCTCTGCTCAAGGCTTCTCAGGTCGACTCACCTTACCTTTGCACATACACATCTTCCGGACAACCCTGTCCTGGGATTCCCATGCACCATTTACCAACTGTCCAAAATCTTTCTTAGGTGATGGAGAGACATGAAAAAACAAAGCCAAAAGACGTCGAGGCCTGGTATGATAAACCAAGTGCTCGAATCAAAGCTCAGGCTGCGTTTCCGGGTTCAGGAGGAGTCTCCAGCACCACCAAAAGCACCGGCCCGGATCTTGCCCCTAAACGCAGCACCGCAGGACTAAGAGCAAGTCCAGCAGTCACGACCTACCCCACTGTGACGACAGTGGGAACTTGGGATCTACTCGCTTTTACAAGCCCCGGGTGCTCACTGTGCAATTCTTCAGTGGCTCTTTGAGGGCAACGGGGATCGGACCCCACCTTCCATCTGGAGTTAATAATCCCTTCTGGAAAAGGCCTCCTTAAAAGGCTGCGGAAGATACTCGTCACTGAATGGAACTGCGTATCGGCATCTTTAATTATTGAAGGATGAAACTTGAAATTAACCCAGGCCTCCCTCACAGCCGGGGAATAGATTCCCCGCGCCCTGGCGCTCTCTCCGCCAGTCCCCGCCCGCGCCGGGTTTGGGGAGAGAGCTAGGGAAAGCAGGCTGGGGCCGCCCCTACCGCCTCACCTCCGGTACTCCAAGTACTCGTCCACCGCCGCCGCGCCGCCGGGGGGCAGCGTCAGCCGCTCCATGGCAGCCGGGAGGGTGAGGAGAGAGGATCCACGCTCGCCCACTGCCGGGTCCGAACCCGCCAGACTCCGCCACACCACGCCACGCCACGCGCCTGGCCACACCCCTGAAGTGGTCACGCCCCCCACTCTCCGCCCTCACCCCGCCTCTCGCTCCTCCCCGGCGCCGCGCCCCCTGCCGCCCGCCTCTGATTGGCCGCGCTCTTCTACCGTGCAGCTCACGTGAGAACCGGTGTCCGCGGCGCAGACTGAGGCCACGCGGGAAGCGACGTGCAGCCCTCCCCAGTCGTTCCCTTGTCTTCGCTTTCTCCCTGCGAGTGTCGTCCACAAGCAACCAGCGAGTGCAGTGCCTGTGTATAATGGCTTCATAGAAAATTGCTTCCTACAGCTCGTTTAACTTACTCTATCTCAAAAATCTTAGTGATGTTGAGGTTTTGGTGAGCTTGAGGGCGGCCTCAGAGCAATCACTACGGTGTTTTCGATTAGGTTTAGGGGGGAAAAAAACCTGACATGCAACTGCGGGTGTAGAGCGTATGTTCAGCGTGCATAAAAACATGAATTCGATCATCACTGAGTCATAATAATAATATTCCTTTCGGCGGGAACCGACATCTTCTAGTGATTTGCCAAACGACGAACACGAAGGGAAAGAGGAGAGGAACCCGGTATACATTCTCTTGGCCTTTTAGAAAACATAGGGTTGCTCCTCCGGCCACATATGTGCAAATCTACAAATAGCATGATATTGTAGACATCAAGGAAATGGGTGCTGTTCGAAAAGGATCACCATAGTAAAACTAGAAGAGTCTACGTTACCCAGCATTTAAACAAGCAAATTAATGGCAAACTACTTGCCATGAGGATTAATGTGCACACTGAGCATATTAAACACTCAAAGCTGTCGACACAGCTTCCTGAACTGCGTTAAGGAAAATGATGAGAAAAAGAAGAAAGCCAAATTGAAAGGTACTTAGGTTTTACTAAAGCGCAGCCTGCCTTGCTCAGAGAAGTAATCCTTTGTGAGATCTAATGGGCAGGAGCCTGAGTTGCTGGAATTAATTCTCTATGAATCAATGGTATAAACTGGGCTGTAGCTCTGCCATTTGCGCCTAAATAGCAGCTAAGCGTTCTAGACCCTGCTTAAAAATAAAAAACAGTCCTGTGTGTCAGGATGGTTTTCTTTAATTGAGCAGGTATGTGGCGCCTTTACCTCGGAAACAAATATTTGAAGCAGATTCTCATTGTATCTAGTTAATTGTGTCAGGTCTTTACTCTTCAGTGTTTTTCTTGCTAGAAGATATTGCCCAGGTACTGTGTAGGTATATACTCAAATAGCTAAATATTGATGAAGCAATATTTACATTGGTTTGAAGATCCCGTAAAACACCATGGGGAAAAGATGTAGCAAAATAAATGGAAATCACTGTGGTACCTAACTGAAACTATTTCAGTTAAATAGTTTAAAGCACCCAAAATTATACTACTACTACTAATAATAATAATAATAATTTGATACAAAAGCAGTAGGCCTGAGTGCATCCAATTTGAGTACAAAGCAAGAAACATATTCTTCAAGGAAAATAAAGAACAAATTGAAAGGGAAACAGTTTTAAATTTTGGTGGGGTTTTTACTGAGTTTTTCAGTGCTGGGGATCTAACCCAGAGCCTTGCTCATGCCTAATAGGCAAGAGCTCGACCACTGAGCTACACCTCTCCAACTCCTGGCCCCAAGTTAAGATTTTTTAAAACCTTTGAAAGACGCCCTATAAGATCTACATAAAACTTGAATTTCCAGGCAATTGGTAATTTAGCCATAAACCGATTTAACTGGAAAGGGGTGTGAATTGATCATTACTTAGGAGGGAGAAGTACTTATACTCAAAAGGTCCATTAAAGATTTAAGATCAGTTTTAGCAACCTCTGTGAATTACAGATCTGCCTCATCTTCTTGCCTTTCACTTTATTATTATGCTTTGCTGACATTACTTTTTTTTTTTTTTTGCTTACTTTTCCCACACATTGCAAGTTACTGGTGATCTCTGCTTCAGGCATATCCATCTCATTTTTCCAATAGCACATGCGCATTTCAAGTTTCTATGTCACATTTGCATAATTTTCAATATATTTCCAAAGTTTTCATCTTCCTTTCCTTTCTTTTTTCTTATGGTAGTGGGGATTGCGCTCAGACCCTTTGCACCTTTTGTATTTTGAGACAAGGTCTCACTAAATTGCCCAAGCTGGGTTCAAACTTGTGATCCTCTTGCAGCAATCTGTGATCTTTGATGTTGTTATTGTTTTGAAAGGCACCATAAGATGTCACATAAAATGTCAAACTTAGTGTTTATTTTTGACTGCTCAAATGACCAGACTTTGCCACATCTCTCTCCGCCTCCTCAAGCCTTCCTATTCCATAAGACACAATAATATTGGAATATTGATACCCTACACCAGTTGTGGCAAACCTACATGTGCCACAGTGGATACACAGAGCCTTCTCTGGCTGTGTGTGAGCCAAGTTGCTCCAGCAGCCAAGTATTGGATAACAGTTGTTTTTTTTCTAAAAGAAAATCTCAGTATTCAGGATGAATTGCAGTGTTGACACCTTGCAATAAATAAATGAGTTTTAGGTTGCAGTTAGGTACTCAGTCCCTAAAAATTTCACAATCACTGCCCTACAATAGGCTATAAGTGCTCCAGAAAAAGAGTCTCATATCTGTTACTGTAAATCAAAAACTAAAAACAATTAAGTTTCGTAAGAAAGGCCTGTCAAAAGCCAAGAAAGATCTAGCATTATCATACATGCCTATCTCAGCTACTCAGAAGGCTGAGGCAAGAGGATCACAAATTCAAAGCCTGTCTGGAAAACTTGTCAAGACTCTGTCTCAAAACTTTTTAAAAAGAGCCAGGGGCTATAGCTCATGGCACAGCACCTGCCAGGCAAGCACAAAGTCCTGAGTTCAATTCCTGGCACAGAAAGAAATAAATTAAAACGGGCTGATGTGATGTAGCTCAGTGGTAAAGCACTATTGAGTACCAGAGAAAGGAAAAAAAAAAAGAAAAAGAAAGTTCAAGACAGTCTAAAGACTAAGCCTCTTGGAACAGTCAAGTTGTCAATGCAAAGGAAAAGTTCCTAAAGCTCTTAAAGAAAACTGAAAATGCTCTGCCAGTGAACAAATTATAGAGAAGCAAATTAGTTTTACTGCTTATATAGAGAAAGTTTTAGTGACCCAAGTAGAAATTCAAACTAGCCACAATATTCTCTTGAATCAAAGCCTAATCCAGAGAAAGATACTAACTTAAATTCTGTGAAGGCCAAGGGAGAGGAGGGAGTTGTTGAACAAAAGTCTGAAACAAGCAGAGCTTGGATCAAGAGATTTGAGGAAAGAAGCTGTCTCCATAAATAAAAATTCAAAATAAAGTCACCAGTGCTTATGTAGAACCTGCAGGAAGTTGTCCAGAAAAGCAGCCAAAGATAATTGCTAATAAAATAAGACATAAGATATAATCAGTCAGGATCTCTGTACCTCACTTCATTTCTGTACCTTGCCTGCCTCTGGCTATAAATATAAACCTATTCTTGTATTACAGCAGGCAGGTCCTTCTGAGTCATTTTTGGCTCAGACTATTGCCAATTCTAGAATTGCAAATAAAACTAATTGAGATCTTAAAGACTAGGTTTGTTGAAATTTGCTCTTTTAACACCATTAAGAACCTTCGGAATTTACCTATGGCGTCAAAAGAATACCAATGGAACTTCCGGGAGAACATGGCGGACAGATAACAGCAACTACCGGAGGCTCTCTGAAAAACTAGGCTCAGAAGCCAGATATGGTGTGGACTAAAGAGACATAAGCAGGTGGAGTTATGCTCTGCTGACTCAGGAACGAACTCGGCTGAGAGAAACCAACTTGGAATGCAGTCCTGGTGCTAAAACAGGAACAGAAAAGTCTCGCTGCTGAGGCTGGACCCTGTGCCATTGGAAGCCGCGATTTGGGTTTCCCGCCGCGCAGTGGCTGGCTGCCTCTACATTGGCTCGGCAAGGAGAGAGACGCGCGGAAACTCTGAGAATGGGAGTCTGCGAACGGAGTCGAAAACAGGACGGGCAGAGAGGCATGTTCTGACTTGTGGCGAGGTGAGTGAGAGAAACTGACACTCCACCACAGTTTGACTCCAGCGGACTTTCTGGGCCCGAGCAGTCCTGCGGGAGCAGGGCGCGGTGGAGACTCCAGCCACACATTCCCCTCTCGGGCGGGATTGGTGAAAAGTGCCTGGCCTGCGTGACGCTGCCGGCGGACCCCGTAGGCTGGCCCAAACCAGATTCCAGAGCCCGACAGAGGCCGGGAGGGGTGGGTCTCCGCGTAGGCTGCCTGGTGCGCAGCGGTGAGTGGGAACACCTAACCGGCGCAATTCGATCAGGCTGTGGCTGACAGGGAGAGAAGCTGGGCCTCTCATATAAGCTTGCATATATAAGGAACAGAGAATATGGGAAGAGGCAGCAACAAGAAAGGCTCCTCGGCCCCCAATTCTGAGAAACAGGCAATAGCGGACACCGCACCAATACACATAAAGCACCATATAGAGAGCCTCATAGACCAATTCAGGAATGAAGTTATCAACGACCTGAAGCTAGAAGTATGCAAAATAGTTAGAGAAATGCTAAGCCCCACCCAAGAAAAAACAGATGGTGGAGTGGAAGAACAGAAAAAGAGGGGAGAATTGTTTGATGGAGAAAACAGGGAAAGCATAGAATACGTGAAGCAGGTTCAAAGGGACTACCAAGAAACTAAGAAGTCTATCGAAGACTGGCATAACAGCTTGAAAGAAACTAAGGACAGACTATCTGAACTGGAGGGCAGAATTGTAATATGGGAGAATGAAATGAAA